GTTATTGTAATTGTAATGAAACGAGAAAATGTAAATTAATTTCATTAGAATTAATTTAGAATTTACTAAATTAATTACAATTAAAAAGTTATGAATACATTTAATAAAACAAAAAGGATCTATACAAATAATTACACACATAACGTACATATATGTACTTAAATGTCTTGTATTCTTGAAATATTCATACATACATACATACATGTAAAGTGTTATTCTAATTATATACAATATAAATTCAAAACTTACATACATACACACATACATAAATATTGTACATATACGCAAATGCTTATTCATACTTTAGGTATAGTTTTGAAAACTACTTATGTACTTCTTTTCTTTTTAAATCCTTTTTGTACATTTATAGAAGAAATTTTAGTGAAACTATTTCTTTTTTTGTTTTGTTTTTACACTTTCACGTAGATCTGTGGTTCTCAAAGTCGGTTAGCATGTTGAGGGCTTTACAAAATGACAAAAATTGAAAGTGCTTGAGGTGCAAATTATATAGCACACAAAAGTTCATCTCATTTCAGTATGTCGGAGTTTTTTTCTTAAACTTCAACTTCATAAATATTTCAACTTCATAGCGATTATTTTATAGCAAAAACTTATAGCTATATAGCTATCTATAATCTATAGATTTTAATAACTTTTTCTTGAACGTTGTTTAAATAAAAATGTTTTCAAAAGAGTTACTTTACTGGTTATCTATGAAATTCTAGTTTTTAAAGTTTGGCGACTTTTTGAACATGAGTAAATAGGTTGTTTCGTTAATTTTTAACTATAGCAATAATATATTTTCAACATTACGAGTATTAGAAACGCTTAAATTTTATTAAAGATTTTAACAACGTAACACACGAATGCGCCATACTTCCCTTCCCTCTCCAAAAATTTTATCTGAGACTTTTTTGTATGTAAATCTGTTCAAGATATCTTCCATTCCATTTCATGAACATAACATAAAATGAACATAAATTGTGTCAGAATTAAAAGTGATTCGCGTTATTATTACATTCGTTTTACTCACAGTAATATATTAAGGTAATAATGAATATAAACTAAAGAAAAAACGCTATTCAAAAAATATAGGGACATAGCTTTATATAAATGTATGTAGTTAGATACCTGTGCATACATATGTATATGTACACGAAAAACCAATTTGGAGGAAATATTCATTACAAATAAAAAGATGTGAATAAAACCTTGTCGTTTGTGGTTATGCGGTAATTTTTAAAATTTGTTATTGTTACTAGGATATAGTAAATACATGTTGTTAGTTGGATAAAGAAGATGACTTGTAACTAGGTATTATGTCAAAAATTAGTTTTATCTTGCATACAAAAAAAAGACAATAAAAAATAAATCTTAAGGATTTTAAAAAAAGATTTCATAAGTTTCAAGATCAGTGTCGTAGCAACCATATAAATTAAAATAAGTCTTGATGAAGAATTTTATTTTTTTTTAGTTCAACTTTTACAATTTTTCTCTCTTTGCAGTACTGTAGTTTTAAATTATTAGTAGAATGATTCAAATTAAATAGTTTACACAAACATATAATAAAAAAAAATAAAGTTAGGTCTAATCACTGGTTTGTAATATAGCACTTTTCCCTTCAACATGTAAAAATGCTGTTTTTAAAAACAATCTATGTACATATGTGCTGCATTATTAAAATTAATTTTATTCATACACGAATATATTTACAAGACAAAGAAGGAAACTTGTGAATTAACTTGTGAATTCCACAAGTTAAGGAAATTATTATATTTTAAACGGTATAGCGTTTGCCGTTAGCCTTCTGAATTTTTAGAGACTTGAAAAAGCTTGAACTCTCGGAGTTTTAAGGGTATGAGGATGGAAGAAAAATTCTCCAAATGAAATAAAATTTCAGACTTCTACAACCCGAGGTCTAGAAAAAAATCATATAAAATTTTTTTAGAAAATGGATTTTAGATTTAACGGTAAATTTTAACGGTCATTGTAAAGTTGCGAAATTTAAAAAGTGCAAATGGTACCACTGCAATATAATTTTCAGAGAGGGAAGATAGGTAAAAATTTTCTTCTATGGAAATAAGTTTCTAGTAATTAAAAATCTATCTACATGTGAAACTTCAATTTTCCATTTTCATGGGTGTAGAAGTTTTGTAAACATGTCCAAGGACGGACAGATAGATGGACGAAAGAATTAAACTAATAAGCACTTTTCTCAAATGTAAACAAGGAGAAAATGGAGGTTGTTTATAAAATACTTTGTACATGCCTTAAATTTAATTTTAAACTTTAAATAATAGTAAAATTTTATTGCAGGATTTAAAAACAATATTTTCTTCAATATGAACATTTGAAATATATGACTGATTTTAAAAAAAAAAGTTTTGTTTAAATTCTAGATTAAAAATTTTAATTTTAACTTATTTTTTGCGAACGTTTAATAAATAATTTGATCGATCAACCAAACTGAAGTATTGGTTTATATACAACGTGTATTTATACATTATTCTCATACCACTTGATGACCACGTTACTTACATTTGTATATACAAAGTACACATTACATGTACATATATGAGGGATAATTCATTTGAAATTTTTCTAATCTCGCTGTATTTAACGACAAAAAGAATGCCTCTTTTCAGCAAAAATAATCATTTAAGTTATTTATGTTTAATTGTCTTGCATTAAAATTTCGTATATAAAAGCAATAATTAATATTTTAATATAAAAGAATTTTCATTCGTATAATCATAACCAATTTTTCTTCATAACAGCCTAAAAATTAATGAAAAATAAAGTATGTAAACAGAAAGTAACGAACTAGGACACAACATACAAATTCATTTATTAATTTCCCCTTTTCATTCACTTAATTTTAAAATCATTTATATATTTACAGCGAAGAAATTGTACAAAAACCTTAATTACTTATACATAACGATAAATGCCCCGTCTACTAAAATTTCAACTTTTTCACGTAAAGTTTACATTCTACTTTTTACTTAGCATTTCGGTAAACCAAATTATTTTTTAGACTGACTCATCTGAGAATCTACGTCTCTTTTTTTGCTTCTTTTATAAGCACAAAAAAAAGCTATCCCTTATTTTTTAATGTCAATATGTTCTTCAAAAAAATAAAACAATATATAACCAAACTTCACAACTGACAGCAAAAAGGGTTCGGATCCAAAAAGGGGGTAACATTTAACATCATAAATCTCCAACAAGATGAAATTTTTTCGAAGTTCCAGTTAGAAAAAGTTCAAATATAATCTTTTCCTATTTTACTAGTGCTAACATTCTTATATCTTTGTGTTATGAAACATTAAAAAATTAATTTAAAAAAAACATTCCGGACTCTTTTAATTTTTTTAAGATTTCGCTAAAATGCTACACTACAGTGTATACAGTTGGGCTACAGTACACTACAGTGTACATGTGTTTTTCCCAAATTGGACAAGTGTGTATTTGATTCAATATATTGTTAATTATGTGATATTTTTATTATGTCAATGAAAAATCTTATATATTATTAGGTATACATTGTTTTTATTATTCTTAACGTCATTTTGTTCCTGCACGCGCTCAGTCGTGCTAAAACCTAATTCGCCAAAAATTTATCGATTTAACTTGGATTTCATTTTGCTTTGAAATTTTGCTAAACACTTTAACAATTCTACTTTCTGTAGATTGATTAAAATGGAAGAACTAAGTAAGAGTGAAATTTTCAAAATAGCAGACGTTAGTTTGTTGGCAAGCGGAATAAGAGGTATGCTAACCATTTGCTTCGTGTAAACACTGTTAATGACGATGATGACTGGGCATCAAGCGCCTGTCATTTTATTTTTATCTTTATTAAAATTTTTTTTATCTAAAAATCTTATCACCGTACGTATTTCGTAAGAGTATAACAATCCATCGAAAAGATTTTTTTTTTAAAAAGAATTAAGCAATTTATATACTTATCTATTTATTTCGAATAGCCACCTCAAATAAATCTATTTGAATCGCTATTCTAAATAAATAGATATGTTTGTAACATTTATGTTTTTAGAAATATGAGTAGTATGGGAATTCAGAAAAATTCAAAAATACATACATACATATATACACATTATTATGTTTTAAAATCAGGTGGCGTACTATATTTATTTACTTATTTTTGCATATAGTACATAGGTATACTATATCTATATATCTATATACAAGAATATTGTTAAATACCCATAATTAATGTCTTTATATCTAATAAATAAAACATTTATTATGTTAGATATAAAGACATTACCATAATAATTGAAAAAGTAATATTATGTACTTTTAAGCTTAGACAACACTATGTACGTATTATATAACATAACCATAACATAACATAATATAAACATTTATTCTAATTCTAATATACAATTTTAATGTATTTTCTCATTTCTGATATACTTATGTCTACAAACTATTTATACTTTTACCACAAGAGGCGCTACCGTCACTCTACAGAATTGAGAAATAACTATAGGCATGCCATTGTAATCTTTTTACCTTCAGGTATTTATTCACATTTCCTTAAAGACTTATCATTATCGGACAATACCGTTTTTTATCGACAATTGAAATAATTCTATACAATATATCATTTTTTTTTTTTAAATAACTTATAAATTATAAAAATTTTATCAGTTTATAAATATCTCAATAGAAAATAATAACAATAATTATTAGCTACTTAACACCACATTAAAAGAGGATTTCATCTTTCTACTTGAATATTTTAAAACGCATATGTACGTATGTTTTTTTATCGTATCAAATATTCCTTTCCTTTAAAAATTAAAAAGCAAATATCTTCTTAAGATTGCCTTCATAAAAATCAAATACTTTAACAAAATTTCTGTAAAGATTTTTTTTTATTGTTGGCAGTACCGTAACTTTCAATTTTTTACTTCAACTTGACATTGCGCATGAACTTTTTTTTCTTTTTTTGCTTCTTGTGTATACAAAAATGTCATTGGATAAATTGACGGCGAACAAAAAATGTCAGTGTTATTTATATTTTCGGATTAAATTTTCTAGTGCTTACGAAAACAGTACATTTTAGAATATGTTTTTATACAACACCGTGCTCAGAAAAATTAAACTGTAAGTTTACCTTGTTAACTTGTATATGAAAAAAGAATAAAATACTCGACTATTGATTTTTAACAAATATGTACTAGTATATTACATAAATATTTAGTGTACTTATTTATTTTGGTTATCCTAGGTCCAACTTTCCAAAAATTAATTTTAGAAACTTTTCAAATTATGATGTGATAGTTATTGGTGGTGGACATGCCGGTACAGAAGCGTGTGCAGCCTCATCTCGTATGGGTGCAAGAACATTGCTTGTTACTCATAAAAAGGAAACAATAGGTAATTACTGTAATTATTCAATAAATGAAATAAAAATTTTAACAAATTTAACATATTGCAGGAGAAATGTCATGTAATCCATCTTTTGGCGGAATTGGAAAAGGTCATTTAATAAGGGAAGTTGATGCGTTAGATGGCATTTGCGGTAGATGCTGTGATATATCTGGAGTACAATACAAGGTTGTATATAATTATTGAAACTGTTTGTCAGGTGTAAAAAACAACTTTAAACATAGGTTTTAAATAAAAAGAAGGGGCCAGCGGTTTGGGGTCCGAGAGCACAAATTGATAGACTATTGTATAAAAAGGCTGTTCAAAATGAATTGTTCAACATCCCCAATTTAGATATTGTTTGTTCAGCTGTTGAGGACTTATTAATTGAAAGATCTGAAGAGATACGTAATGGAGACTCAGTGAATTGTTTGGGAGTTGTTTTAAAAAATGGAGATAAAATCAAATCTAAGTCAGTAATTATAACAACTGGAACATTCTTACGAGGTCAAATTAATATTGGCTTGGAAGTTAAACCAGCTGGAAGAATGGGGGATGAACCTTCAATTGGTTTGGCCAAAAGTTTAGAATCACTGAATTTTCGAATAGGTCGATTAAAAACTGGAACTCCTCCTCGCATTCGAGGTGATTCAATAAATTACAATATAGTCGAAAAACATTTTGGTGATAATCCTCCAGTTCCATTTTCTTTTTTAAATGATAAAGTTTGGCTAAAGGCTGAAGATCAAATGCTGTGTTATTTAACATATACAAATGAAAATGTAAATAAAATTGTAAAAAATAATCTTCATCAAAATCGGCATGTAGCAGAAGAGATTACAGGACCTCGTTATTGCCCTTCGATTGAATCTAAAGTGCTACGCTTTTCCAAGAAATCTCATCAGGTTTGGTTGGAGCCAGAAGGATTTTCTAGTGATTTAATATATCCACAAGGTTTATCTTGTACATTACCGGAAAAACTTCAGGTAGAACTTATAAGAACTATACCAGGACTCGAAAATGCAAATGTTGTAAAACCGGGGTATGGAGTGGAGTATGACTATGTTGATCCAAGAGAGTTATATCCTTCATTAGAAACGAAAAAAATATGTAACTTGTTTTTGGCTGGTCAGATAAATGGCACAACAGGCTATGAAGAAGCAGCTGGGCAGGGAATTATAGCAGGTGCCAACGCGGCGGCAAAGGTTTTGTACAAGTAAATTATCAGTAAAGCTGGTGTTTTTACATTTTAGTTTGCAGGCCTTAGATAGAGAACCTTTAATTTTAAGTAGGACTGATGGATATATTGGTGTTTTAATAGATGATCTAACAACCCTAGGAACAAATGAGCCTTATCGAATGTTTACCAGCCGCGCTGAGTTCAGACTTATTTTGCGTCCTGATAATGCAGATATAAGACTCACAGAAAAGGTAATTTTCATTTAATGTGTAATTTTTTTTAAAGATAAATTTTGGAATATTAAAATATGCGTGGTAAAAGTATTAATTTTTGACAGGGATATAAAATTGGAATTGTTTCTGAAAATAGATATAAAAAACTTATAGAAACAAGAGAGAAATTAGAAAAAGGCATTTCCATACTTAAATCTATTAAAAAAGGATCTAATCAATGGCGTAAGCAATTAGGACTACCATCTTCTAAAGCTTCTGTTGAAAAAAGGTTTTTGTTTGGGAAACGAATTTAATTTCATATTACCACAGCAATATTTTCTTTTAGCGCTTATGAAATGCTTTCCATAGCAGGAGACAACATTACAGTTCAAGATTTAGTGAATGTGGAGCCGAAATTATTTGGATTTCTTAGGGATGAAAAAGGTATTTCAGATCGTATAAAAATTGAATCTTTATACGACCATTTTGTTAAAGAACAAAGCAAAGAAGTTGAAGAAATAAGAACAGAAGAACTTTTAATGATTCCAAAGAATATAGATTATTTTTCGTAAGTTTTTACAAAATAAAAATTTGCAATTCCCACAATAATATTTTAAAAAATATTTGTACACTTTTCAGAAAATCTCTCAGTTTTTCTAATGAAGAAAGGGAAAAATTATCGATTATTCAACCACAAACAGTAAGACACAAATTAATGTAATATAAGTACATAAGGAATAATGACATTTTTTATTTTAGATTGCAGCCGCTAGTCGAATACAAGGCATAACACCATCAACTATTGTTCGACTGTTAAGATTTGTAAAACAAAAAAATAGTTTAAAAGATTGTAATTTTACGTAATTTAATGAAAATAAATTTGTTTTTGAATTAAAAGTTTCTTAACCGTTTCATGACTCAAAAATAAATAATAGAAATTAGATAAAGCACCATTTCACATTTAAGTAATTTAATTTGTGTTATAAATGTAATTTAGAAATTATTCTCCATTTTTCTAAGATAAACTTAAATATTATACAATATCTTTGTTGTAATTGTTAGAAAGATGTTGCAATTTTTTTTTAATTTTGACTTTAAAAAATTTGCAATCACTACAATATTCTATAATATAGAAGAGCAATTAGTGGAAATTTTTTTTTTAATGATAATACAAATTAGAATTTTGGAAAAATTGGATAAGTAAATATTTTACTTATTTTATAAATATATAAGCATAAATACATTGTAGTTGAAATCACTTACCTGCAACAACTGTTTCTGAGCGTTGTAATCTAACAAGTACATGTTCAATTAAACCAACATCTGTACAAGCTTGAAGATTTCTTACACTTTTTCTTAAAATTGCTATGAACACACTCCATATTTCAGCCTGAAAAAATATTTAATATAAATTTTATTAGAAAAATACGTCTATGTATTTGCAAAATTTATAAATAAAACATTTATTATATTTGGTTTCCAAAAATTAAGGAAAAGGAAAACACAATATGAAAAATGAACTTATTTTTCTTTTTAAATCCCATACCTGTCATATAAATAAAATAAAATAGAAAAAAGTTAATATGATGAAATGGGAATAATACCAATACACCTGATCTGTTAAAAAAATTAGAATATTGTTAACAATATTGCTAAAGGATAATTTATTATAAATTTTTTATTTCTAAATTAAAATACAATGACAGACTGAGTATTTATAGGACAAAAAAATAAAAAGTAAAATCCTCGTAACCATTAATCAAATGTTTACATTTTGTTTTTATAGCAAAATATTTTCTTAACATTTTTTATAAAACATATTGTAAAAAAAGCATACAGTAATGAAATCTTTTTGTGTCTTATAAATTTTAATAAAAATAGGAGGTAGGATTCTTAACGTTGAACAAATTGAAACTTATTATTCATTAATTTGTTCTCATATACGAAGATATATTTTTTCTTCTTATTGCAATCTTACCATGTTATTTTAAGGTTTATTAAATTATAAACATCGGATAAATTTAAAGAATTTTTAAAAATCAATTTCTGGTTTATAATTTTTATAAACGACGAGCTTTATAATTGTGTCGTAAAATTTAGTCGATCGCACACTAAATTAAACATTTAAAATCGGTTTTAAACATTTGAAAGAAATTAAAATTGTTTAAGGTTGGTGTTTACCGCTAATTTTAACTGTTCACGTATAAATTCCTCAAAATAATAATATTTTTAAGAAACTTTTAATTTAGAAAAAATTTATAAAATTTTAGATTTGAAAACAAGCATACATATTATAGAATAACTAAAACTTACTTCCCATTCAAAATTAATTCACAACCAATTTTAATTATGTTTTGAAAATTCTTTTGTAAATTATAAAAATTTAATTAAATTGTTGCCAAATTGAATTTAATATGAATTATAAAAATTTTATAATGCAGTTTAATTCTAACCTTTTGATTTTTTTAAATGGTATAAAAGATATTTCAAAGTGATAACCTCAAGACGTCGTGTTCATTTGATTCACAAAAAAAAACAAATCCTGAACCAGGAGAAATTTGAAAAAATTTTTATTAAATTATTTTTCATTTTTTTATCCTAAATAATCCTTTAAGTTCATATTATATTATTTTATTTATTTATTTGACTATTTTTTTTGCCGACGTCAGGATGACAATCAAACTTTTCAACTCTGTGCGGTTTGTTTTTTTTAAGCAATTTTTTTGGCAGATTTTTTTAAGTAAAATGAATTTCTTAGTCATTCATGGCTAATTAATTAGCTTCAATGTCTGGTATTGGACAAAAATTGCTGAAAACGTTGATATAAGATTATCTTCAACAATTTTTAAAAAGAACGCTTACCTCTGATTAATTTTATTTCTTTATTTTTGTAAACACATAACAACGAAGATATTATTGTTTGTTTTTTCAATTGTATTTATAGAAGTGACGAACAATTGTTGTGTTTGTACGGGAAAAAGAATAGTTTGTGTTCCCATAACAGGAACTATTTTATAAGTGTAATATTATAATTCTATTTGTTAATGTAAATATCGTCTCTTACATGTACGTACAAGATATCTTCAGATTTAAAAGTATCTTTAATTAAATATTAAAACCAATACATTATTTATTTTAATTGTTAATATAAATTTTCGCTATTTGTCTTTTATATGCATAAACAATGTATTCAAAAATACAACGAAAGTAAATAAAACCAAAATACAATGAATAATTTTAAATACGTGACTTGTACCTGTAATTATTGCACATTCCAATAAAACATGTACAATTGCATAATTAATATGTAATATTCAACGTTAATATTATTAATATATTATGTATAAAATGTATGAAAGGTATAAATATGTATATTTACTAAAAATATAATATGTAAGATTCAAAAAAATGTCCTTTGCATTGTTATGATACGTAAAATTACATACATACATATATAAATATATATGAATAAATACATATATAAATATAACTGAACAAATAAAAATAAATAAATATTTGATACACATGCAAATATACATAATATACAATTGTTTATTATAAGAAAAACTTTAAGGATAAATTTCAACTTCACTGAAAATATGAAATTTAATAGGAATATGTAGGTACATACATACATATGTATATTATGTGCAATTTAAATCAAGTGTATATATACATATAAATATGATACATATATTTTGTATGTACATGAGATAATATATATACATATGTATATATATATGTATACATGTACATGGAAGGGAAATAAGAATTTTAACATTTTTAATTCGTCGTCCAATTTCGGGTATAGAAAATAAGATTTATATCTAGTCTAGACTAGTTTTAATAAGATTTACATGGATTTTTGTATCGATTTCTTATCACATAGCACCTAAACCAATTTATACTTACATACATACATATATGTATAAAAAAAAAAAATGTTGCAATGTGAAATTTAAATTTTAAAAGAATTGAAAAAAAAGGTGAAAGATTTTAAAATAAATGTTAGAGTCAAAGAACTAATGTATTTTTTTCTATTTCAATTCTTACGCATTAATTAACATACTGAAAATCTACGCTATTGAAAATAAAATTTTTTTCCGCATGTTAATAGGAGAAATTTTTTGTACACGAGAACACGTTAAGTGCATTAAACGAAATCCTTAGTTCAATAAATTCACAATTTATCTTCAAATGTTAAAAAAATTCGAAAGCCTTAAATGACATTTTAAACATAAGAGAAATAATCTCCAAACCAAGCACATTATTATGAATTCGACATTTTTTCCAGAGTTACAAATATTGGACTAATTGAAATTAAATCTTGAGCTTAGATATATTTCACCATTTAATTAAGTACATCTTTTGAAGTAGAAAAGCAAGAATTAATTTTTGTTAAAAAATTATAATAAGCTTTTTTATTATTTTATATGTTGAGTCATTATTTGTAAGAAATAGCATAAATACAAGAAGAATCTACATAATTAGTTGAATATATTGCAGAATTTGTATTAATACATATTAAACCTAACTTTTTCATTTGAATAATGGCGCCATATAATTGTACTGAAAAATTTTTAACCAGATACAATGTGTAAAAAACAATATTTTATTAATCATTGACGTTCGGGCTTTTTGTTACAGGTACCATTTTCGTATTTTTTAGCATAATGTCTCTCAAATATTTGCCGCAGATGTCTTTTCAATTGAGTGCATAAAACTCATACAAAACACATAAGATGTTGACACAAATTTACAACTAATTACGCTAATAGTAAATGGATCACAAACATTATTGAAAAGTGAATTCTGTTTATAATTCCACAATGAAAAATACTTCTACCGCTGTTCAAACTTTGTAGGGTCTCGAATTTATTAAGTTTTTTATACACAATTTTCTTTTCTGAACTTAGTTCGTTTTGAAAATTTCCGGCATAAACTCTAAATTGTCCCTATGTTTATACCCGTACGAACGTATGTATGTTCGAAGGGTATATTAAATTTGCCTTACCATTTGTAAAAATAAGAAATAATGGTCTGAGATATAGATTAAAGTGTATGTTTTTGATCAGCGTCGAATTCTGAGTTGATTTAGCTCTATCTGTTCGTCTGTCCGTTCGTCTGTCCGTCCGTCCAAGCGATAACTCAAAACTCAAAAACTAATTGAGCTAAGTTCACCAAATTTTCACAAATGATTTACTATAGTAAATTCCAGAACCCTATTTAAATTGGATATGATCGGGGTACTGGTTCGGGTAGCTGCCATACAACTTCAAAATTTATTTGACTACATCTTAGAAACTATAAAAGTTGTAGTGTTGAAATTTCGCACAAGTAATATATTAGTAAGGCCAATGTGTTTAATAAAAGTCATTAAAATTGCTTGGTTCCTTCTGGTAGCTGCCATACAACTTCAAAAATTATTTGGCTATATCTCACAAACTATAAAAACTTTAATATTGAAATTTCACACAAGCGAATATATTGGTAGAGCCGATGTATTTGGTATAAAATTATTTGGCCATATCTTAGAAAATATTGAAAACACAGTACTGAAATTTGTCTTATCGTTATCTTTATAAGTTTACACTTTAAACTGTACGGTTTAAAATTTATATTTAAACAATATAATTTGAATTTTAAACTTAACGGTTTTAATTAATTTAAAAAGTTTAAAACGTAAGTGAAAGTTTCATCGTGAAATTGCTTTACCGCATTTTTATTAACCTGTAGCATAGTGTTAGGGTATCGGTTTTTCAAAGATATCAGCTTCTATTTTAGATTGTGGGATGAACATATTAAGTATTACAGAAAGAATTAAATTAATTTTCGATGTTTATTTCTAAAGACGATGATTGTGTACTCACAGCATTTTCAAGAAATAATTTAGAAAAATGATTTAATTTTTTTTTTAATGAAGTTCAAAATTAAGTAATTAAAATGTTACAATGTTGTATTCTATAAAAAAAAATATTTAGTGTAAATTTAGTAAAATATATGACACCTTCTCTTTAAAATCCTCAAATATGTACTTCAATTTCTTAAAGAATAACCTGCACCACTTTTGAAAGAAATAGTTCATAGTACTTATATTTTTTTAGAATATTTTGAATACCAAATTCCAAAATTAATCCTATACATATATACATATTTAATCCTGATATGTAAATAATAAATATTTTATTTGTCCACATTGAAATTAAATAAACAAAAATTATTACTAAAGTTTAACTTTATTTTAACTTATTTATTCTTATATTTTAGTATAGTATTTACTTTTTTATGTTGTAACTCATAGTATGCTGCGTGAGTTAAACAAACATTAAAGCAAAAAATCCCCTTCCATATATTTTCGTTTTGTTTTAACAAAATGTCGAAGTTAGTAAT